CACAATTTTTAAAACAACAAATATATTTAAAAATACAATTTCATATTTAGAAAATACCTTAAGATACCTACATAAAAAATCTTTTTAAAAAAATACCTTAAAGCAAGTAAATAGTAAGTTTTAATCTCTAACTTACCTACTATATGCGTGTTGGGGTCTGCAAAAGTGTTGTTAAAGAAGTGTGTTCTTCAAATTATATAGATGGTGCTCATGTAGGTAAAGTTGAGTGTCAAGCTGCTATCTTTGTTATAGTAAAAAAATTTTTGTAAACATTAATATTAAAAATCCTAAAGGTAGTAATTATCAATTATTTAGGGAGTTAAGTAACTGAGCCAATCAAGAGATGTAAGTTTGCTTGAAGGAAAATAAAGTTAAGTGGTATTGTGAATAAAAAATGTAAACTGTTTGTAATGTGAAATGTGTGTTCTGTTGAAAAATTGTGTAAAAATTGTAAAAAACGTTAAGTGAAAAATTTTTTTGTGTGAAAATTGCAAATAATTAAAGTAATTAAGAAAAACTGAAATGTTTTAAAATTAAAGTTTTAAAGTAAAATTTCCCAAAATTTTTGAAACGAAGTCCTTAAAAAACCTCTAAAAAATTCCTTTAGGAAGTTCATTAAAAATGCTAATGGTACAAATAATAATGGTACAAATGCTAATGTAAATAATACAATACATGGTACAAATAATAATGGTACAAATGCTAATGTAAATAATACAATACATGGTACAAATGCTAATGTAAATAATAAATAATGGTACAAATGTTAATGCTAATGTAAAATAATAATGGTAAAATGCTAATGGTACAAATAATTATAAAAAGAATATAGATTACATATTTGCAATTATACTTAAAAAAATCTGTAATTTAATCCAACATCTAGTTAACAAACAACACAATTATAGTTGGATTATTTATAATAATGCTCCAGTTCTCAGCAGTTTTAAAAGTTTAACAATCAAGAACATTAACTGCTATGACTTTGAAAACCTTTATACTTCTCTACCATTAGAAGAAATTTTTACTAGTTTAATGCAACTCACACAACTTTTTCCTGACATACTTGACATCCTTTGTATTGAAAGATGGAATACTTATCTGAATTCTGCATTATTTTATAACTACATTAAATTCAATAATAAGATCTTTCAGCAAGTTAGAGGAATTCCTATGGGAGCAAACAGTTCTACATAAATTTGTAACCTATTCCTTTTTACTTTTGAATATAAATTCCAACTAAGTTTAAATAAAAATGAATTAAAGCTATTTGCTCATACTTTTAGATACATAGATGATATTATAACTTTCAATAATAATTCTACTTTTGAGCAATTCAAAATTTACCCAAATACTAATTAAGAAGTCAAACAACAAAAATCAGCATTATATTTACCAAATTTTCACAGGACTAGTTTCGATGGTTTTACCGAACCACCATCTTCAGCTGCAAAACCGCAAATGAACCAGATAGGAAATAATGATTAGATAAGATAAGAAAGCCTGGACAAGAATAAGCAAGTGGCGCCATCTGTTGGTGAAACCAGAACTAAAACATAATTTCTTTAAAGGCTGAAGGCAAATTTGGATTGGAATTAGGATCGTTAACTAGAACAGAAAGATTTTTATGAATGCGAAATGCCTCTAGAAAATCCAGTTCTCCAATGGAAGATGTTTTTTGAATAATTTTGGCAGTAGAAAAACTGAAAGTGTGGTTTTCGGACCAACAACGTTGAGCAACAGAAGACTTCTGTGTTGATTTTTTCTAACATATGCCTCATGTTCCTTGACGCGAAATTTTAAGGCTCTCTTAGTTTGGCCAATGTAAATTAAACCACACTGGCAAGGAATCCTATAAATAGCCCAGGAATTCATATCCGGAATGGGTCCTTGAGTATGGAACTCGGAATTTTATTGATGGGAGAATAAAACAACCCGAAAGTTAAATTTCTGCAAAATATGTGCAACTTTATAGCTAATTGATGGAAAGAAGGGAATGACAACAGAATTTTTATAATCTCCTAAAACAAGAGTGTGCCTTTTAGTGTGTTGAGATGAGAATTTTTTAACTGCTTGATTAATAATGTTGGGTGGAAAGCCCCTGTCAATAGCTATTGCTTTTAAATAATTTAGTTCTTCATCAAGGGCTAGTTTGGAGAAGCAAACTTGAAAAGCACGGAAAACATAGGAATAAAATGGACGGAAGCACGGAAAACATTTTATTCCTATGTTTTCCGTGCTTTTCAAGTTTGCTCCTCCAAACTAGCCCTTGATGAAGAACTAAATTATTTAAAAGCAATAGCTATTGACAGGGGCTTTCCACCCAACATTATTAATCAAGCAGTTAAAAAATTCTCATCTCAACACACTAAAAGGCACACTCTTGTTTTAGGAGATTATAAAAATTCTGTTGTCATTCCCTTCTTTCCATCAATTAGCTATAAAGTTGCACATATTTTGCAGAAATTTAACTTTCGGGTTGTTTATTCTCCCCTCAATAAAATTCCGAGTTCCATACTCAAGGACCCCATTCCGGATATGAATTCCTGGGGTATTTATAGGATTCCTTGCCAGTGTGGTTTAATTTACATTGGCCAAACTAAGAGAGCCTTAAAATTTCGCGTCAAGGAACATGAGGCATATGTTAGAAAAAAGGAAACACAGAAGTCTTCTGTTGCTCAACATTGTTGGTCCGAAAACCACACTTTCAGTTTTTCTGCTGCCAAAATTATTCAAAAAACATCTTCCATTGGAGAACTGGATTTTCTAGAGGCATTTCACATTCAAAAATCTTTCTGTTCTAGTTAACGATCCTAATTCCAATCCAAATTTGCCTTCAGCCTTTAAAGAAATTATGTTTTAGTTCTGGTTTCACCAACAGATGGCGCCACTTGCTTATTCTTGTCCAGGCTTTCTTATCTTATCTAATCATTATTTCCTATCTGGTTCATTTGCGGTTTTGCAGCTGAAGATGGTGGTTCGGTAAAACCATCGAAACTAGTCCTGTGAAAATTTGGTAAATATAACGCTGATTTTTGTTGTTTGACTTCTTAATTGGTATTTATTCGGCGTGTTATTGTGTCTTAATTTACCCAAATAGTTTAACACTTAATAAAACGAATACGAATCAAGATACTATTGAATTCCTAGACCTGCAAATTATTAAACACAGCAAAATTAAATTATTTGATAAAAGAAGGAATTTCCATTTTCATACTATTAAACTAATTAATTGGAACTCTATTATCTCTAGAAAAGTAATAGAAAACACGTTTCATAGCCAAATAATCAGAATAAAAAATATATGTACTGAAATAGACAATTTAAAGGAAGAAATAATAAAGCTAGTTAATGTTCAAGTTGATAACCAAGTACCACCAAAATTTATTAATTTATATATTAAAAAGGCAGGCCTTGACTTTACTTTATAATTTTTTGGCTCTTTTGGATATGATAACATTACCTTAAACCTTAGCTGGAGGGTAATGAAGGATATAAAAGAGTAGAGAAATTATCTTGTAAATTTTTATTGTAAATATTTTGTAAATATGTATATTTAATCAATACTGGATTCTTTCCTTTAACTAATAAAGGGCCAACTCTTTTCAAAAGTCTCAATTATAGCCCGAATTGAGTGAAGATTTTAATCTTCTTCTTCTAATTTTCCATACTTCAGCTAGTATTTAGTTAAGTTTTGATATACCAATTGAAATCAAGTTCATTAAATTTTAATATTTTTAATTAACTTCCTAAAGGAATTTCTGGGAATTTTTTAGAGGTTTTTTAAGGACTTCGTTTAAAACATTTTGGGAAATTTTACTTTAAAACTTTAATTTTAAAACATTTCAGTTTTTCTTAATTACTTTATTTGCAATTTTCACACAAAAAAAAAATTTTCACTTAAAGTTTTTTACAATTTTTACACAATTTTTCAACAGAACACACATTTCACATTACAAACAGTTTTCATTTTTTATTCACAATACCACTTAACTTTATTTTTCTTCAAGCAAACTTACATCTCTTGATTGGCTCAGTTACTTAACTCCCTAAATAATTGATAATTACTACCTTTAGGATTTTTAATATTAATGTTTACAAAAACATTTTTACTATAACAAAGATAGCAGCTTGACACCCAACTTTACCTACATAAGCACCATCTATATAATTTGAAGAACACACTTACTTCTCTTTAACAACACTTTTGCAGACCCCAACACGCATATAGTAGGTAAGTTAGAATTAAAACTTATTTATGCAGTATTTAAGTATTTTCCTAAATATGAAATTATTTTTTTAAATATATTGTTTTTTAAAAATTGTGAATTAGTTCTTTTTTGTTTCTTATTGGTTTATATGGATTATATCTAGTTCTTTTTTAGTTTCTTTTTATTGATATGCATATTCGTGTCGGGGAGGTTTCTGTAGACAAGAGTTTCTAAAATACATTGGTTTCTCGATTATTTTTATAAATTGCTTGTTTCTCAAAAGATTTCATTAGTATTTTCCTTTTAGAACTTTATTCTTAAATGTTAATTTCTAAGGGTACCACTTTATTGGTATTACTTTTGGTTTTGACTTTTACCCTTGCCTGCATGAATGATGAAACATGAATTGAATGATTGGAGAGTTAGGTTTGGAGGCAACTTCCCCTTGATAAGTCTGTCTCCTGCCTACTCAACGGTCATTCACTTATGCATTTTTTAAAAAAATTGTTTAGTTTAATTTTAATTTACTAAATTAGTGAATTTATTTTCATGAATTGATTTTGCACTTGATTTGCTTATGCTTCTGAATTTAAATGATATTGTAGATTAGTTCGAGAATTAAATCTTTTTATATGTTTGCACATTTAAAAAAAATTTTTTTTTAAATTATTTGGCTTTTTTTTTTCTTTTTTAGGATTTAAATTTGCTTTTTTACTTTTTATACGTGTTTGTTAAAAAATTAAATTTAAATTTGTTTTATATATATATATATATATTAAACTATGTTACCATTCGCATCTGTTCCTCTAACTGAAGTCTCTCATCAAAATTCATCCACTGCGACTCTACATTATCAATATAAACATTAGGTACACAAGGTGTTTCAGTTCTGTAAAAGAAAAGGAAATTGCAAAAAAACACAAAACACTCATTGCCACATTCTGAAAAAGAGAAAACCACATAAAAAATAAAATGGCAGATTAATAGAAGTTTTACCTTTAAGAATAATTCCATGTCAAGATTTCCGGCATAAATTTATTATTTTGAGATATTCTTCATTCAATACATATATAAATTGCTAGCCATTAGTATTGCAAAATTATGAAGAACAAATGGTAATAAAAACATAGTTATTTTATAAATACACATGATACAAAGGTACAGCAATTAAAATTTCAGCAAGTTTAGATGTTTATAATCAGCATGACATATCGCCACCACAGTTTGTTATCAGGGAAACTGGGGTATATGTTGAACACAGAAGATTATATTTCCCTCAGTTTTTTAGGGTATTATTTTTTTTAGCATTTAAAAAATAAATCAGCTAAAGATCTCCCATAATACCACGTTCCCCTACACTACATGTTACATTTCCTGGCCGAATGCTGTTCTACCAGGTTTCTTTCAGAAATAACTCATACACGCAATGTAGGACTTCACACGTTATCTGCACATCACGACAGTAGTACAAAGCCTCTTCACATTTCTTATTCTGAAGTGTGTGTTCCCTTATTATGTTTTTATCCTCTTCACATTCTCTTCAATATCAAAGCTCACATGCAGACATACAAATAATCACATCACAAAAATAAAAAATAGTTTATTAGTTATTTAAATTAATTAGGATAGCTATAATATGAAACAGCAGCTGATCAACGAAAGTGAAATAATATTGTTGCGTGTATACAGGATTATAATGGATTGAATGCACACAGAACCAATGATAGTTTGATAAAATTTATTTTACCAAAAGAAACACTTTACAGTTCTGGAAGTTTCAACAAAAATACATGCACAGATCTTCTCAGTATCACAGAGCATAATCATTAGTTACATTTGAAACTACTAGGAACATCAAGCACAATGCAATGCAAAGCACACCTAAAAGGCAATGCTCACACGGATATCTTAATACACCAAATTCAGCTCTGAAGTAACAACTGAGAAACTGATGCTCTCTCTGGTCTCAGTTTTCTGCCGGCCTGTGAGAAATCTCTAGTACCTACTCCTCCTCAAAATTATGGCAAAGCACATAAGACCCCGATGCAGTTACAGTTACATATAGGGATCAATTACAGTTATTCAGTTACAGTAACAATTACAGTTACAAAAGGACTGGAGCAAAATGTTGCCAGGTTTGGCAATTTTGCCAGGTTTGGGTGATTTCACTTAAAATTTGGCGATAAACGTTAGTTGTCAAAACAATCATCAGCTTTGTGATATCTCACCAATTAAGCGAGATAGCCATTTATGTTAATGTTAAACAGACTTGCCCATTTAATCTTACTTTTCTGGTAAAGCTTCATCTCTAACAAGCATTCCATGCTAGATTATATAAAAAATACTACAATTTCTCATATAACTTCACTAAAATTATTCTCATACATAAAAAAATTCATAACATCACTCCCTTCCTAAGGACTGCATGCCGCTGGTACTACAATCCCCAGACAGGAAGCCATACTTACAAATAAGGAAATACAATGCAGTACTAAAACAATAATTTCAATAACTAAACAAACCAAATACTAAACCAATAAATAAATTTACAAATTTATACACAAATAGGACCACAATCTTACTATACTATTTACAGTGTATACAATCCGGAGACTGCACTAAGTGCATAGTACGGGGCTATCCCATCTTAAAGAATAGTTTTAGGCTTTGAATTTGATGACTTACAGATCTGAATTATGACATCATCCAGCCTGCTTCAGGCAGTGTACAGACCATCCCAGAAAGACTGTAGTTTAGGAAAGGGTCTTTACCGGTGAATCGGACTCTGTAACCACAACTCGTCACCTTCGTTGAATTGGTGCCCTGTGGCTCTCATGTCATATCAGGTCTTTATCTTTTCCATCGTCAACTGATTCGCTCTTATGCAAAATTGTGCATCACTTCAAACCATGCCTGCAGACTCCTCAGGTGATGAAGGCATAGTGATCAAAAGGCAGACAAAAGTCACTATCAAACACTGTCTGGGATGGGGAAGAGCCAGTAGTCTTACAGAAAGCACTACAATAGGCCAGTAAGAACAGGGATAACTTTTGGTCTCAGTCCATTTGGTTTTCTGGAAACCATCACTGAGAAGTTATTAAGGATGTTTTGATTAAACATATCTACCATGTCATTTGATTGCGAATGTAAAAGTGTTGTTTGGGTTTTATTGATGCCGAGTAGCTTCCAGAGTTATTTAATTACAGAAGAGATAAAATTCCTTCCTTGATCAGATTATAACTGAAAAGGCACTCCAAAGCAGGAAATTCAATGCTGTATCATTACCTCTGTTATCATGATAGCCTCTTGATCAGAGACAGGATACGCTTCAGGTCACAATGTGAAATAGCAACAAGTGTGTATTTATTGCCATCAGCAGTTCATGACAGAGGTCCCAGAATGTCAAAGGTTTTGTGTTGGAAAGGCATTGCTACACTATAATGATGGTGCTTCTCTCAACTGCATTTCTTCAGTCCTTTCTGATCCGCAGAAGCATTCCATGATTAGCACCATTTGTTGCACATCAGTCCTTGCATAACTCAGTAGAAGTGCTCTCGAAATCTATGCAAAGTCTTCATTATTCCCAAATGTCCTCCTGTTGGACTGCTATTTATTCCTATGTAGCTCTATAAGGACACCTGGAATCCAAGATCATGGAAGTATCAGCTGCCATCAGAAAGCCTTTCAATTTTCGATTCCATAAGATGCCATTTTGAACATAGAGTTAAGTTCCAGACAGCCCAATATTGTTCTGTTGTAGGGCTATATATCGAAATGTCCTACCAGGTAGGTTTCCTAGTTGAGGACTCCATTAAATCAATTATCGATTAATGCTGCCAACATCTAATTGATCTTCCCTGATTCTTCATCACTCCAGAAGTCTTGATCGGCCAATGCTGAAGTTGTAACTTCATATGCGACCAAATTAACATGCTCGTACTTCGCTTTGACCCTGGAACAATATTGGCAGCTTTCTGGGTAGAGTCTTCTAGACACAGCATCAGCATTTTCGTGTGATGATTCCACATAACTATCTGTCACGGAAATATTTTACTGGAGTCTATCCATCTTGCTAATCGGCCTTCGGTATTCTTGAAATTTAGGAGATAGGTCAACCCTGTTTCCTCCCTGTTTTAGACAGACACTTGTTCCAGTATGCCACAACACTTTGACTGTTTATTCTTTGTGAAAAAACTGCCCTGAAACTCCCATTGCTCACATCCATGTCAAGAATAAATGGTTCGTTGAGATGAAGATAAGTCAGAATTGTGGCAAATGTTAGAATTTTTTGGTTTGTTAAATGCATCCTCAAATTCTTTTGTTCGCAAGAACTTTTATTGCTCTCTGTCAACTTGTGAAGGTGGTCTTGTAATGGAAGTCCTTCAGGAATCTATTATAGTATGTGCAAAGCCCCATGAAACTTCTCAGCTAATGGACAGTTTTTTGGAAAGAGCTCTAATCTTTAACTGCTGAGATTTTTCTGGATCTTTACACACACCTTCAAGGCAGATAGCCCTCATGTGCTTTGCCGTAATTGAATAATCCAATCCATCTTACACACTCCTTCGGCAGAGATAAAATGTCTGAGGTAAATCTCCTCTCTGAACAATTTACAATTGGCAGAAAGAACTTAACTTTAGATTGGCACCCTTCAATACATGAAGCACCTTTCTAATATTTTCTATATGTTCTTCAAACCTTTTCCTGACATGAATGTTGATGGTACATTACATAAACAAAACCATATTACCTTTAATTATCAAAATCCTTGTCCGATAATAAATGTCTTCTTTTCTCAGTCATCAGGGTGTATCTCTACCAGCCAATATCTACTCTTTAAATCAAGCATCAAAAAAACACTTGCAGCCAGAAAGTTTACAGAATGCTGTCAATTCTAAGAAGATGGTAGCTGTGTTTCCTCTTGACACCATTCAAGTGGCAATAGTCAATACAAACTCTAATTGAGGCATCCTTCTTTCTGACCAGGATGATGGGAGAAGGCCAAGGACTTCCTAAAGGCTCAATAACACTGCTTTCTTGCATGTCTTTTAGAAGTTCTGCTACCTCCTCCTGTTTAGCAATCAGTAGACGTCTTGGATGTTGCTTGATTACTGGATGATCTCCCATATGAATTCTATGCTCAGCCAAACTAGTTAAACCTATGTGAGAAACTGGGTGGAAGAAAACATCTAGAAATATTTTAATGAGACACTCTGCAGCATTTCTCTCTTTATTGCTTAGTTGTGCATTCTGCAATAATTCCAACTTTAGGGTCTCTGAAGACACAGATTCTGGAAGGTTATACTGTTTCATTTTACACAGGTCATTGTAGTACATGTTACAACTACTTCACCTTAATTAACGACTTTTGCCTTATAATCGGCAACTCTCATCAGGATAACAGTCCTTGATAGGTCAATTAGTGCTAAGGTTAACAGTACTTTTTTCGAACTGTTGCAGTTCTTGGGGATATTCTATGATTTGGATATTGGAAATTTCTATTTTCAGCTATGAATCCAGGAAGTAAAAATTCTGTTCTTACTGGTACTGTGATATCGCCTTGAGCTATGATTTATAGGATAGATTTAACTTCATGTTTAATTCCAAACACAGTTCTGCCCTCAGAGGCAGAATGCAGTTCACTATTTTTAATATCCATGGTAACATTATACTGCCTTAGAAAGTCTAGTCCGAGTATGCAAGGTCAGTAAGTAATATCTGCTACATACGCCGTGCCATGGTAGGCGGCACTCCCAAACGTGACATTAACATTTTAATTTCCATCAATTTTGATTTTATGACCAGACAGTCTGAAAGGGTAACACAGGACAGCGCCCATAAGAGATCACCTTCCAAATGTTGAATTAAATCTTTCTGGATGATGGTGAC